GTCTACCTGATATCTTCCGTTATACCTAATTTCTCTGAATGCGAATTTGAATACGGTTTTTTTTTTTTTTTTTTTTAAGAGAAGGGCTATTAGTCTCGAAACAGCATTTTGTATCGAATCTCTATAAACGGTTGTATCACTTTTCAAATTGTTGCAACCAAATATTACCTCCCTGTACTGTATTAAAAAAATTAATCAAGAATCCGCATAAGTGTATATATATTTCTCGTACTTTGAAAAAATAACGATACCTAAAGCCATCAAGTTTTGAATAACGTAATCCTCCATCTGAATATGGGCATCTGGAAGCCCGAATCTTGAATTTCGAATTTATTTTATTATATACTTCATATTTTTTTAACTTTAACGAATTTTTTATTAAGAAAATCAACGATTTCAAAGCGAACAGTGGCAACACACTCTACGGAATAAAATATTTTTATCTCCAGCTGAAATTCTAAAGGTATTCTATTTTAAAATACTTTTAGCCCAAAGGGTCGTTAGCCCAAATTCTCTCGAAACGTGTACATATGTGCAAATGTAAAAACAAACGCTCCGGGCCCAATATAAAATTTGAAAGCTTTCAGATTTTTTTTTAAATAATTTTGTAAGTTTGAAGATAATGCTTTTACTTCATTTTTCGGCAAAATTTAATAAATGCGTTGTGCAAAATGCAGGTCGACGAGACGAGCAAACGTTCCCCCAGCTTAATTAGGAAATTAATAAAATATCTTATCTTTCTAAAAGAATCCGAAACAGTATCTAGGGTTGCCAAGCGCTTCCAAGAATCAGAGTTGTGGGTGATATTTTTTGCAGATATCGGCGAGTGCCAATAGTTTCATTTTTATATTTTATTCTATTACAAATTGTTTCACTCAACAGAAACATTAGTATACTTTGGAACTTCAGTAAATCAAAGCAAAATGTTTGATTATGCTTTCAAAATCTTATCTTAAAATACTTTACTTTATAAAACTCCGCAAATTACAAGTCCACAAAACATTTTACCCTACATATCTACACACGCACAGCCATTTTTAAATCTATTCTATGATGCAAAAAAATCTGATGTGTACACCACATGACTTCCTTGTACGGAATATTAAATTATACGCATTTTTTCCTTGCATTTCATTTAAACTTATTAGATTGAATTAAACCTACTTCGCCCGACAGCGCACAAACCACAATAGAATAAATGCATTCTTTAAAATTCACTTTGTTTACCATAGCGAGACTCTGGCGCTAGGTTTACTTAACAGTATTATATTTTGTTCATATTATAACTATGTCTATGTCTATGTCTTAACACAATTAAGAGGCAATCGGCCTAGTGCGGCCTTTACCAATATATTATAAGTAGGGTGTCTTTAATGATTATAAGTAGGGTGTCTTTAAAGATGGTACGTACTTTTTGCACCTAGTGCAGAGTCTCTAGAAGAGAAGTAAACGTGGCTCCACGATGTGAAGATCTGCAAATTGAGAATTTCTGCCGCTCGGCTATGCTTGTCTTGAGAGAAGCTGAGAATTAATCTTTATCTACAAAGTTCAGAATCATCTCAATGGCTTGAAAAGCTAGGCAAAGTTTCTGCATATTTGGTTTAGCTGATTTAATTCTCTGAACTATTGTGGTTATTGATTTCATGAGATAAAGGGCTTTTTCCTGATCTTTGAAAATGTTAATGATTTCTGCTAAATTTTTCCTGCGGGTTTTTCTGCTTAACTTTGTCACTGTAAAGGTTTTTAGGCATTTTCTTGATTAGTTTGGCCTGAAGCTTGAATAAATTCGGGGAAGTCATCTTTAGTGGGGAATTTCTTGTGGTTTTTCTATCTTCTCTCTAAATGAATGAATCTTTTTTTGCTGTATACCTTACAACCACGATAAGAAGAAACGTGATTTTCGTGACAGTAAATGCAAGTTGGTTTTTCATCTGGTTTTTAATTTACAGGTATTGGATCTGTGATTTTGTCCGCACTTACAGCACCTGACCTTTTTAAAGCATTATTTTTGGGAGTGCCCGAACTCCTGGCAATAAAACATTGAATTGGGTTGGGGCTTTTTCTGGGCTGATATTTTTCTGTTGTGATATTGAATCCGAACATATTGTTTAATTGATGAATTTTCTCTCCTGCAGAATTTCTTTTTAGTTCAAGGAAAAATATAGGTAAATGGATAATTTGGTCTTCTGCTTTCTTCGTGAATTGCTTTACTGTAATTATAAGGAAGCTTCTTCTGCGTTTTTCTAAGTCTGCGTGAATTGCTTGCTCTGTGTAAGATCTTGGGAATATTCTTAAGTATAAACTTTAATTGAAGAGGCTGAGGAAATTTGGTACGTATGAAAACTAATCTGTGCTTTCTTGAATTTATCAACTGTAGCTTTATAATCGGCTTCGGTGGTAGGTAAAGGTAAAGTGAAAATCTGTCTGGCTTTGATTGTAACTTCAAATTCGTTTTTTACATATCTCTCTGAGCATTTTTTATCAATTTCAGGCCAATCAACATCGTCTTCTGGAATGACTAATGGGGAAATTTTCATTTTATTTTCTGCTTTATTCTGTGTTGTAGTCATCTGCGTTTCATCAGTAACTTCCTGGGCGTTTTCGTGGTTTTCCCCATGTGTAACGTGTATACGAGCCAGTTTCCCTTAGAAAGTCCTCCACGAAAGGCATCCCTCCCTTTAGGCAGATAGCCCTCGTGTGCTTTGCCATAATTAAATACACCAACCAACACCATCAGTAACTTCCATATCTTCGTTATTTTCGTTAAGAGTTTCAAATCTGTTATTTTGCGGAATAGCTGCTGGTAGGACAGACTCGGAATTTTTCGCGGTTTTCTTTGGAGTTTGCCAATCCTTCTGATTTATTGTTTTATTATCTGTTTTAGAATTTGCGAGCTTCGGGGTGTTCTGAATGCTTGCTAAAATGAACTTGTTTTGTTGAATTTCTTCTTGTAACTTTGAACGCATTTCTATAGCTGGTGGGGAGGTTAATGTCTTCATAGACTCGATACAGTTTAATTTATCGGCGATTTCGTTTTCTAATTTGAGTGAGAGATCTGTCTTTGGGTTAGTCGAAGCTGAGTATTAAAATATTCTTGCGAGATAGCTTCTGTTAAATTAGGAAAAACTTTGTGTTCGTTAACTACTGCTTCAAAATTTGAAGGGGAGGGTTTGAATTTCTTAGTATTATCGGCTATTTTCTTAGGACATCCTGCGGTATTCTTTTCTTTTCTCTGGGATTTACTTTTTTAGTAGAAATTAGAGTAGCAATTATACTTTGAAGCGCCGGATCATCTGAAGTAATTACAGGCATCTCTTTGGATGTAGTCGATTTTCTTGAATAATTCGAATAAGTAGAATCATTATCGCTATCATAATCGCTGAAAGTAGCATGCCAAGGAATTTTGCCTCTATCTGGTGGTTCGCTATTACTGGCCATATTGAGGAGAACAAGCAAAAATGATATTTACCAAAAATCAAGAACTAATATTATAACTCAGAATGCACAAAATTTATATCATTTAAAGAATTATCTAATCATTGCCAAATGTTCTATTCAAATACTATAATAAAGCTAGAACTATGTATAAAAGCAAACAAACCAACAAAAAAAACAGTTTTTCACATTTTTTCACAGATGATTGAGTATTCTCATTCAATAATTCAGTTTTCACTTCGCGACAAGGCAAAAATACATAAAACTCAAAATATCTGTATTAAAAATTACGAAGTAAATCTTTAAACGCTTTATTTCCTCGAAAAAATTCCAGAAAGGATTAAGCATGATTTAAATAATAAATGAAGGCTTATCTTTGTTGTGCAAGCTAAGTTCTCTAGTCTCTAGATTGGCAACAAATCCGCTATCTTGCTGTGTCAAATGTAACAAGAGCAATGGCCGGCCATCCAAAAACATTATTAGGCTTAGCGGCACTTAAACAATTTTAAATTGTTGATAATTCTAAAAATTGCATACAGATTTACTAAAGGCATAAAAACACCTTAACCGAAGATAAAAGAACAACATAATTCAATCATTTCTAAAGCAAAAATGTACAATTTACAAACATAAGAGTAAAGAAACTGAGATCACTGAGCCGGGTACCAGAGTGGATATATATATAATATATTTATATACGTTTGGTGCGGCCGATTGCAACCAAAATACGAGTGCACATCTACATGTTTAAAGCAATCTTATATACAAAATTTCAACGTTCTGAGGCTACTCGTTTTTGAGTTATGCGAGATACGTACATACGTTCGTACAGACGCCACGAAAAATTCAATTCAGAAATCATTTTAAAGCAGTTTTATAATTTTTTTGGAGGAAAAGAGTGTTTTATTCTGTCCTTACATACAGATATTACGGAAATACATCGCTAAATTGCATTTGAAAGAGGTCAAAATGGGATATTTTCGTTGAAATATGCTGCCTGAAACTTTTCGCGATTACAATACTTACCTTTTACTTCGTACAAGGAAGTAAAAAGAGCAAGGGCAAAGAAAATGGTCAATGAAAATACCCAAAAGATGAAAAATTATAACTGAAAATAGGCACTGTTTATTTTAGTTGATTATGCAAGGCATACGAAAGCTATTTGCTTAGAAAAGAGATGTTTTCATATTGTGAGGAAAACTGGCTTGTGATTACGTTATGCGCGGGAAAAAAAAAAATTCAAAGGCTATTTACTGTGAATACTCAAATGTTATCAGTTAAGAATTCTATTTTGTTTATTTTTAATGTATTTATGTATGTGGTAAAAGCTTTTATAGATAAGAGATATCAGTAGTGACCTCATTTGGTAAAAACCTTAAAATCAGTAGATGTGTGGCTATGTGCTTTTCCTATGGCTTGTTCAAATTTTAACTGATTGACACTAAGGAAATCTAATTACTTTCTCTCACACCACCATTAACTCAAACAAAAGAATCGGAAGAAATGTTTTGAAGCAATGAAAGTATGGCGAATAGTTTACTAAAAATACTTTTATTTGCAATACATAAAAACTCTACATATATATAAAATCACTTGCACTATACGTAAAAAATAAACATGTGAAAAATATTTTCTCGCGAGGTAATATATTTACTTGATCAATCAATTAAATTACAAAATGCATTAAATTATGAATGCTTATTTGTCCCATAGAGATAATGAATAAAATATCTTTTAGATCGATGTAAAATTAATACTAAAGTGCAACTAAATTACTTCAAAATCTAAGCAGCATCTTGAAGTATATCACGTGCCTTTTGCTTTTTCTATTACTTCAACAAGTCAATCGGCTACTAATAATATACATAAATATTTCAGAATACTTTTAAGAAATCGGAATGTGGCTTGCATAAACATTTCGCCTTCAGACGATTTCTTTAATCAGTCATTTTTTAATCCGACTCGTTAAGAGTTTTCTTTGGCTTCGCTTTCGATGAGTTTTCTTTGGTTTCGCTTTCGATGCATTTTTGCGAAGTTTAGTTTGTTTCTGGGGTAAAATGAATCTTCCACGTATTCCTGGAGCATTTTTGGAGCTTTTATTTCTTAGCAGAATTCCTTGCTCTAGACCTTTCAAAATGGCTCTTTTGATTTGTATCTTCAGCTGGAAATAATCTATAATTTCATAGTTACCTAAAACATAAACAGGATTTTTTTAAACAATGAAGTTAAGCATTTATTGATTTTTTTACCCCAAACTGAAAGCATTTGAAATCGCATTAAAAAAATGACATTTTAATTTTAGTTCTTCCATTTCTAACTAAAACGTTTTTACGTAACTAACAAATATATTATATGTTTACTATTTTAATTTTCGTTTCTTCATATTTGATTCTATTGGTAAGTTTCCGGAGTTAAAAATTCCAATACCCATATCTGTAAAAAATATAAAAATTAAAAATGTCTTTGGTAGAGTCTGCCGAAAATTTCTCAATCATTACGTTAAGCTGCCATCCGTGTTTCAATCACTAACCTTGTTCAAATTACGCGAACCTTAACAGGCTATCTTTCGCGGTCAGTTCGGATTGCTATCATTTAACAAAATATAAGGTCTTTATGAATTTTCAGCTTTAATCAGTTTAATCTTTCACAAATTATATGATTTAAAAGCAATAAATTCGTTTCTTAACAATTCAGTTCTTCATTTCATTTAGCGGAACTACCCGATGTCAGTTAAATTAGATTGAGAGTATGCATCTAACAGCACAGAGAACGATACCGCTGTAATCCTTCTCTAATAACGATGCAAAAAATACGATTCATAGTCATACATTTGTTAGTCTGATGCAATAATGAATCCACATAAAAAATTTCTATAGAAAAATAAACTAATTCTCTCTCATTATATCAGCAACAATGGCGCGCAGATTTTAATTATTTTCGTTTTTCTAATCAAATGGTTCTAAAAGCTCATGTTCCATCCAATATTTCACCCATATTCAATTTTAGTCGATTAAATGTGGCAAAAAAATTATCATAATTGATCAGAAATCAATAACGCGGACAAACACACAAACATGCAATATTCTTTATATATATATATTGATTGTAAAACTTACAAATTTTTGATTAACAAATTCTACGATTTGAAAGGGTAGCAACACTTTTCGAAATAAAGCATTTTTATCTCCAACGCGCAGACTGTTGCCACTCGGAAAAATGAGTGTGAAAAATAAGCGTTTTTAATTAATATATCGGCTGTTTAAAGTAGTACGAAGATGGACTTCCCACGAATTTTTGGAATCGGGAATAATGTAGTTAATGTTTGACAATGCTATTTTTATATCGTTGTAAAACTAAAAAAGTTTTTATTAATTGCGTGCTTTCTTCACTATCAGAATATGACCTTATATATTAATAATATGTTTAATGTTTAGCAATGTTATTTTTATTTCATATTTTGTAAAACAAAAATTTTTTATTAACAACCTCTGTGATTTGAAAGCGAGCAAGTGCAAGACCTCGAAATAAAGATTTTTGTCTCCAGCGTGCGAGATTGTTGCCACTCGGAAAAATGAGGACGAAAATTAGCGTTTTAAGGGTTTGAATTAATATCTCTGACTTTAGCTTCCTTTTTCTTTTAAGTGGACGTTGACCTTTCCAGGAGCCAGAAAAGAATTATAGAAAGTTTGGTGACGATAGCTATAGTAGTGACCAAGTTATTAGCGAACAAACAGACTTTCTTCTTTACATATATATGTATGTTACGGTGAAACACCGAAATCTGGAGAATGTCGACTTTCACCGGTGAATGTCAACATTCACATAGTCGCTTGGTGTATGTCCGAAATATTTTCCAAAAACTCTTATTTCTCACTTACACCGGTCAATGTCGACATTCACCATGTACTAATGGTGAATGTTGAACATATAAGAATATTATATTTTCTTCTCCGAAACTCAGTCGCGAAAAAACGCACTTGAGACTTAAAATAAGAACTTGAAATACACAGTACATTCAAAATGAGAAAGGAAAATAATAGAAGTTAAAAACTTACTAAATTATGTGATTCAAATCTTATTTATTGCATTAACTTAAACTATTATAACACTTTGAATTGCACAAGAGGCCCTTGCTTTTACAACTGCATTTATTTGTGCAACACTTTTGCAATGTCAGCCTGTACATATACTCCTCTCTTTTCGACCTACTCCAGAGCATATCTGTGATTTTCGACATGCACCGGTGAGGGTCCGAATGTACAAGAATGTAACGTAATATTCGATCTTTCACCGACGTATTTGGTGAATGTTGACATTCTCCCGTGAAAGTCGACATTCTCCAATTTCGGTCTTTCACGGTAACATATACATAATATAACTAATACAAATTAAAATACATTTAATTTTTATTGTTAATATAGTCAACTGCTGATTTTTTATGAACACTTGAAAGAGTCATTGTAATTCATAAAAGATGTGCGTGTGTGATTATGGCAAAGCCTCGAGGGCTATCTGCCTAAGGAGAGGGATGCCTTCGTGGAGGACTTTCTAAGGGAAACTGGCTCGTATACACGTTACACAGGAGGAAAACCACGAAAACGCCCATGCAGCCAGCCCGTTCGCGGGATTCGAACCTCGGACCGAACTACCAGTGTTCAGCGACTTTACCGCTCGGCCGCTGGTGGGCCCCTCATAAAAGATGTTTCTAACATCTCTTATGAACTGACACATGATGTGCATGATGTGCCTGGTTCAAAATCGTTTTACTCCTAAATTACACTGGTTCGTACTACCCCCCCCCGAACAACTGTGTGTTTGAAACCTATTTGCAAATTACATCAGCTAAATAATTAAGAAATGACTTCATTTTTACTTTCTTATACGATATAAAGGAAGTATTTTAATTGCAAAAATTTTCGGCTTTCATATTTCAACGAAAATATTCATTTTGATCTTTTCAAAATCCATTTGGATGAACTTTTTCCCGTGATGTCTGTACGTGCGAATAGAATAAAGGATTTTTTCTTCCAAAACGGATTGTGAAATTGATTTTAAATGGATTCAACTAGGATTTTTTGTGACGTCTTTACGTACGTACACTCTGCACATACTTATAAATAAATAAATAAAATAAATACGTATATAAAAAAAGGGACATTTCTATATCTCCTGTATTACTAGACTGATCCATAAAATTTAATTTTCGTTTTTGAGTCTCGAAAGCACTACTCAGGATATATATTAGATTTATATATATCATTGTTTTGATACAGGTATTTTGACACAAAGTCGGATTTCTCCGAAACGGCATAATGATTTTTTCCATATTTTTTTGCGTGCTCGACCCAAATTATGCCCAAGTATTAAATTTTTCTAAAATTTGATGAAAAACAAAGAAATTTAAAAATTTATGTTGGAGCACTTTTTTTAGTTTGCGCCAAGAATAACTGACTTGACAAAATTCCTAATTTATGGTAACCTATTTTCCTTTCCTTTTCATTGCGCACGACGGTAAAAAAAGTTGCATCTTTCATTCTTTCAAATAATTTTAGGCCCACCAGCGGCCGAGCGGTAACGTCGCTGAAGTTCGAATCCCGCGAACGAGCTGGCTGCATTGGGTGTTTTCGTGGTTTCCTCCGTGTGTAACGTGTATAGGAGCCAGTTTCCCTTAAAAAGTCCTCCACGAAGGCATCTCTCCCTTAAGGCAGATAGCCCTCGAGTGCTTTACCGTAATCTAATAAACCAAACCAACCTTTAAAATATTTTAACAGAGTGCGCAAACTACATTTAGCATTATTAGCGGTTATAACAAATATGGCAAATTTCAAAGGAATCAAAATATAAATTCATATATATCTTTGGACATTTTGAATAAAAACTATTATTTGCAGGTATGCCTAGAAATACATCTACTCTGAGCTGATGGCATAAATTTTATAGGTTATAATAAAAAAAAATTATAAAAATTACTAAGAAATAAAAACTTTAATAAAAATCAGAAAATATCAGGGAATTTTATTTGGATTAAACCTAAATTTCGAGGTACTCTTCTGTTATCGGGACCGGATTCAGAAATATACGTATGTATGCAAATGTGTATATGTAAGTAGGTGGATATATATGTGTGAGTGCACACACACATATATATGTACACAGATATACATATGTACACAGATATGCATATATACGTACATTTCTGAATCCGGTCCTGATAACAGAAGACAACCAGTTACGAATTGTGAAGAAAGGAATCAAGTTTAATTTTAAAAAAAAGCATTACTTAATATATATAACAAATTCATTTTACCTTGAGAAGCTAAAATTTTGAGAGCTAAGTTTTTAAAATTACAAGTACGATTTTTAAAATCTTGGTACTTTGGTATATATTGAGTTGTAGAATCTCAGTATGGCATGTTACACATGGTAAAAATTACGAAAACGCTCATACAGCCAGCCTCTTCGCGAGATTCAAACCTCAGACTGAACTACCAGTGTTTAGCGCCTTCACCGCTCGGTCGCTAGTGGGCCAGACAAAAATTGACTGTGATACTTAATTTCAAAATTTGCAATTTTTGATGTCAATTTCAACTTATTTTAAGGAATTAGTTAATTAAAATAGAATAATTCGAGGAAATAAGTTTAAACAAAGGTCGGCAAAAAATATGCATAATTTAATAGGCAGTACAAGGAAGTCACATGCTATCCACGTCATATTATTTTTTCTTAATATGCTATTTGTTATGCCTTTCAAAACCTTCTTCTTGGAAATAAAAACGTATGTTTAAACTGTTTCCTTATACTATAAAATAATTTATTTGGAAAATTCTGGGAATGAGCTCACATATATATTCGGACAGTTAGAAGGCATAATTAAACATAATTTGGAGTTATTAAATTTCGACAAAGTACTGCAAAAGACAATATTTAACAAAAATGTGCAAATAGTATATGCAATAATTAACGAGGCACGCATTTAGATAAAATATGGCATTCAGGTATTTCTTTCATGCACGAATGTTTGACATGACTACATGTTTGAAAAATATGGAAGAATTACTACAACTTCAAGGTAGCCCTAAAATAGCATTCAACGAACATTTAAAATGTATTTTTAGTGTCATTATACTGACAGGACTTGAATGAGTTTTACATTTCAAGTTTGTGCTCCGCCATTTTCAAGCTTTCATTAAAATCGTTTAGGTTTCTGTTAACGATCCATAACATTCCTTTTATAAAAAAACTAAAAAATCACTTAACATCTCCCTTCCCCCACTCTATTGTTTACACTTAACAGCAAGCACTAGAGTTTTCAGAATCAGTTCTTTGGGATTTTGCCATTCACTAATTCGTCCTTCCTATCTAAATATGTTAAATTTTGATCCGCTTACAAATATTATATTAAATCAATTCGATAAATCGTTGCTTTCATATTATCCGCCCGTCTGGTTACTATTTACTGAATAAAACTGCCGCTATCTTGGCGTATACACTCGATGACAGACAACTCACGTATAAGAAATACACATGTGTTAAAGTATACATAGATTTACACGTTTTATACTATACCATCATTTTGTTGAACGGTTTTTATACTGGCTGTAGAAGTGTTAATGAGTTTTGTCTTTTCCTACACTATATTTAAATTACAGTTATAAATTAAAAATAAGCTTACAGTAAGATGCATATGAAATATATTGTAATGAATATCCCAATTTTCTGTTTAATTTCTGCATAAATGGCCTACGAATTTTTGCGTTTTTCTCACAAAATTTTCTGTTTCTTATAATATGCCTCTTTTTTGCTATTATTTGTGGATAAAACAGTACATGCGAGTCGTAACAGTAGTTCAACGAAAGATTTCGCTAGATCACAAAGTCACCAATGAGATGAGATGCGGATAATTATAAAGTTTTTTCCACCACCTTTATTTTCTCACATTTGCATTTCGCTGCCAAGTGAAGCTGACTTATTTCATTCTTATTCCTTTCCGGGCAATGTTTTTCAATGCATCAACTGTTATGGTATTACCGGTGCTTTTCACTTAAAGTTCATTTTGCCATGTGTTTAGTACCGTGTCATAAAGATTCAATAACTATACGACTTTCAGTACTTTTTATAAATGATACTTACAAATAAAAGCTTAAGAATGCATGAAGCAACATGCTAACCACCACCTTTTTTATTTAAATTAAATCATGCCATGATTTCCATATCCTGTATAAATATTATAGATTCAAAACCAAGCTCGGGTAGGACAAAACATACACGTACAAAAAGTTATCGCAGGGATCTTTTCCAATGTACGATAACACGCACCAAATACTAATTTTGTATAGAAATATATATACGCGCTAACGTTGTCTGTTGGCTAACTTTAAACTAAATGCGTTGATTTTATCTGTTATACTAGTGTTCTTAGTTTCAAAGCAAGCATAAAGCTGAAAGAAAGGTTTCTTAAATTCCATTCTACTCTATTAATTGAAATAATTATCCTAAAACATCTTATCATAGTCGAAATAAATTCGTGAGGGGGGGGGAAATATGCTTTCTGGACAGAAATATCAGATCGACACACATATCTTTCTATAAAGAAAATTTTTTGACTTTTCTCCTGATAACGGAAAAGTTTGGCGGATTACAGCAAAGCCTTTGATTAGGTTGGGATTATTTGAATATGGCTATCTATATACGAGTGCTATCTGCTTAAGGAGAAGACCGCCTTCGTGGAGTACTTCCTACGTATAGTCCATGCAGCCAGCCTGTCCGCCGAGATTTGAACCTAATTCGAATTATCCTGCATCAGCTACTTTACTGCTCATCCGATGCTGAGTCGCTTTACAAGTGACAATCGTGGCATATAATGGAGAAAATAGTTTCTTAAGCTACAGCACCAAAACGATTTCATGTGCTTGAAGCAGGTTTCATATTTTCCGTTTACTGCTTCTTTTCAGTTGACAAGTTTTCCTGAAATTTGTAATGTAAGATAATGCGTTAAATTTATTGGTATTCCATGTAAAAACTGATTCATTTACAATGGATAAGAACTCTTTGCGAATATAAATATTAGTTATGTGAATAACGTATTCATTACATTGTATCAAAGTCTTCCTGCTAAAAAAGATATAGTACATATTTTGCCTTTTTTAAAAGCTAAACCATAGTTCAGACAAAAATTCTTTTTAGTGATGAGAGAAAAGAATTTTCTAGAACGTCGCAATTAATTTTACAATCTATGTATCGTCGTTGAGGCAAATAAGAACGCAGTAACGTGGTTTACTGAAATTATGCATTTTGCAATTTTCTATCTATTTCATATTATTTATAATGTCATGTATAATGAATCAAAAGATGAACCAACATGTAATCCTAGTTCCATAAAATCAGAGAAGATAATCAGATGATTTGACATCTAAAATCACGCAAATTATATCATACACTAGAATGCCTCAGACATCCTAAAGAGTCCACCAGCGGCCGAGCGGTAAAATCACTGAACGCTGGCAATTCTGTCCGAGGTTCGAATTTCGCAAACGGGATGGCTGCATGAGCGTTTTCATGGTTTTCTCCATGTATAACGTGTATACGAGCCAGTTTACCTTAGAAAGTCTTCCACGAAGGTATCCCTCCCCTTATGCATATAGCCCTCAAGACTTTGCCGCAATCACATAAAGCAAATCAAACCAGATATCTTAATGATCTTACTGAATTTTCAATACCTTTGAAAGCTGAAAACCACGTTCTATACATTATCCGATAATTAAATTTTGGATCTACAAACAAAAGTGATATCTAGTCCTCACCTCAAAATCGTTGCTTCGAGAAAAAACGAGTTTAAAAATTTAACATGCACTTAATTTTCAGAAAACTGTGTTATGACGAATATTACGAACATGCACAATTACTCTTCTTCAATTATTCCCCCCTTCTTTCTTAAGCAATAGTTTATAACAACAAAAAATTGTAGAGAAAATAAATTAAATATAAAGAGAAAAATGGTTTTGGTATGGCGTCGACGATACACATAAAAATATGCATAAAGAAGAAAGATATTTCAATTCTAAATCGATAAATTCTGATTTTAAAAACTTACATAATATCCACTCTGTGATGGCAACGAATGAAGCTCCATTTTTACTTGAGCCTTTTAAGGAAAAAAAAAATAATAATAATAATAACTATTTGTTTAATTCTTAAGTTCTTTCAATAAAAAAAAAAAACAGAATCCTGGTTTTTGAAAAGTATTTATAATCCTCAGCTGCCGGATTTAATCAAAGATATATCACTTCTACGCTATCGATATAGTTTTAATAGTAGTTTTTTATGTAGAAGTGGTCAGGTTTTCATAATTAGTCGCACAGGTATAGCTCCGTTTCACGCATTGTACAACTCCGTCCCGAATTTCGATGTAGTCAGATCTTTGAGAAAAAAGTTACTTCATGCACAGTTATAAAATATATTTCAAGGAAAAGTTTGTGTACTTACCGAATTATTTTGCATTTTTCTTTGAGCCACATGAGGACGTAAAAACGAGTCTGCCATATTAAACCATACAGTAATTGATTTGTAAACATTATCTCCAGAAGTTTCAGATTTCTTTGATCAGTAATTTTCCTCAGCTCAGGTTGAACGAAATTATTTTTTGAGTACTCCAACTCTAATTCACTCAAATTTTAGCGTTTTAATAATGTTCTTACACGCCTTCTGTCGGCAATTTTTGTGTTTATATTCTGCTAGTGAAGTGTTCTATAACACTGTCACGACGTCCCTGCGAATGCTACTCTGAGTAACTGCCCGGATGCATTTTTAAACAGGTTCAAAGTAGAAAAAGAAGCGCTGACTCATCTCCCATACGTTTCAACACGGTCGAAGTGAGCGGTTAAAATTTTAAAGTACTAGTCGTAACGAGCGGCTCGCTGCGAGCTGCTCGGACAAGTGTAAACTGGCCTTGAGATGAAGAAAACTCGGATCCGAGAGTTTCAAACGCTTTTTTACCTTACTACCAAACCATTCGAGAGAGCTCTCGGCTCTCCATGCCGCGCAGACATTATACACTTATAAACATGTAAGCCTTCTCCGCGATTCGAGCCGTGGCCCACCATATGGCAATTAGCATCGCTAACAGTTATACCAACCTACAGTCAGGCAGCGTAATATGTTATCTTTCCCACAACAAAATTTATAATTATTTACTATAAAATAAATTGATAATTTATTGAAATTATTTATCTCGCATATACGTCGCGTTATTTGTACGACTGCATGTTATGTAAATTGCACAACACAAATATTTTAATTTTACCCTTTATGAAAAACTGTATAGTTTAACACTTGGCTAGAATCATAATCTGAATAAGAATTGTGCAGAAAAATCTAAAAATTAAGAATGTTGTCTTCAATTTTATGCGAAATTTGTCCTAAGTAAGAGGTGTTGGTGTATTTAATTATGGCAAAAAGCACACGAGGGCTATCTGCCTAAGAGGAGGGATGCCTTCGTGGAGGACTTTCTAAGGAAAACTGGCTCGTATACACGTTACACATGGGGAAAACCACGAAAACACCCATGCAGCCAGCCCGTTCGCGGGATTCGAACTTCGGACCGAACTACCAGTGTTCAGCGACTTTACCGCTCGGCCACTGGTGGGCCCCTAAATTTGTCCTAAAACTATGTAGATGCACTGTGCGTTTATACTGAAAAACGCATCTCTTTTCGATAAGTAATATTAACCGAAACAGTACAAATACTTGAAGTTAAACTTATCATTCATATCTTTTGAGAAATTTTAGGCTTTTCTGATTGATGTGTTGATGTTTTACTATTTATCTGTTTAGATACAAGTGAATATATTTTAAAAAGTGCTGAAACTAAAAGATTACAGCAACACAAATCACACTGCAAATTTGAAGGTACGATCACGATAGTAATTAAAGATAAAAAGAATTATAAGCTGTTATACGTTAAATACCCTTGAAAGTTAAAGCTCATGCGGGCCACGTTTTTAAACGAAAATGATAATACTTTGGAATATATTAACTCTTATATAACAAATATTAATCTGCGAGTTGAATAGGAATTCCTAGAATACATTTAAATCACTGTTATATATAAAAATTAAGCGAACAGTAAGATGCATATAAATTACATTGTAAAATGAATCTTCCAAATTTTGTGTAGTTATCTGCATTAATGGATCTTAGTGGATTATTTGTGAAAAGTATACTAAGATTTCTGCATATAGGAGGGAGAACTCCATGAAGGACTTTCTGTACTAAACCTGCCTTTGCTTATTCTACACACGTGGAAACTACGACAGGCTCATGCTATCAACCACTGCACGTCGGGAATGGAAACGACCCCACAATTAATTTTAAGTAAGCCAAACAGCAAGGACCTTCTAAGGGAAACTTGCTTGCATTAATGGGTACTTCCGTATTATTCCGTCGAAAGCGAAACTTTTGCCAAGTAGCTCAATTTAGCGCCTGTTATGGAGAACCGTAACGTAACAGCACATTCACAACATCTGTGGCTTTCGTTTGATCTAACCCTGATTGATTCTTAATAAACCATCGTTTGTCTAACCTTCTAACCTTTACTTAACAAAATAACAGAAATCAACGAAATTGTCTGTTACGCAGCCCAAAAACGAAACTGGCCGAATTCTGACGTTCTTAAATAAAGAGGCATCAATTCTTCAGAATTTCGCGGCAACAATTAGCGCAACTCTGGCAGAATATCCGCCAACTTTCAAGGTTCGATGCTAGCCAACTTTTACAGTCGACGGGATAATACAAAAGTACCCATTCATGATACACGTAGTGAAAACCATGAAAACATCCATGCGAATTCGGGTCGAAAACTTGCCTGCATTCATGCTACAGGTAGTGGAAACCACGAAAACATCCATACAGCTAGCTTATTCATCAGAATTCGAATTCGGGTCTAATGACTATTGTTCAGCTGTCTTGGCACTAGTGAGCGAGCAAAACGAACTAACATCTTTCCGCTTATGAACTTCCATTTCGAGCAATGCATTTGTTCTTGAAGACATCCGATTTTAGGATTTCAACCTACTTTAAAATAAATATTTATTACAGAATTAATACTGTTATAAAATATTTGCTACAGAAAAGTAAAATGCTCACATGTTTCAGAATGAATTTTTTTGTAGGGTCGCTTCCGTAATAAAACCATCAATGTTTAAAATTGTAGTTTCGAAGAAAAAGCATTTAAAATTTTTCAGAAAATCAAGTTACGATTTCTGACTAATTCATTTATGTTTTATGTATTATTTATTTATTTTAAATATTTTTGGCGTGTTGTAGGTTCAAAACATCAAACACCTATGAAATACATTTAGCTGAAAGCAAATAAAATAGGAGTTCGTGACCACCATGATGTACTAAAGTGACCTGTTATGGTCCGATGTGTTTATATAAACACCCGAGACTTGCTATAAAGATCACTCGATATAGCAATTATTCAATTACAACGACCGCTGCAAAAGGCCTCCCAAACGGCGAAAATGTACTGAATTTTTTCCCTATACAGACCACTCGTTATCGCTTGATTTATCTGTAGGATATGAAGGGTCGTTGTAACATGCAAACTAATGCGAAACACACACAGAATACTATACAAATCTCTCGAACAGATTTCAAGCCCAGAATATTATACAGATATCTCGAATTAGTTTTAATTAAAAATATTTTTTAATTATTGTCAAAACTAAATTAAAAGCTTAAAACGCTCATACATGAATTTTAACACTGAATTTACAGATTACATATTAATCAGGTACAGAAGTATATCGTAAATTACGAAGAAGGGAAAATCAAAGTACTACGTCTAAACTTGTATAATAAGATTGTAATCTATCGAAATATAATTTATTTCTTTACCATGGCTTTTTCACATTTTTCTAAAGCAGTTGAATAAACTAGTATTAATACTCTGCTGTTCGAACACTATCAATCAGATGGAATGTTCAACTCTTGTAGATAATATCGAAAAGTGCTACAGAAAGTAAAAATTACATTATAGTCATTTCTAACAAAATACTTCCAACAAAACTTACAAAAATGTAAAGGGAAAGAAGGATACAAAAAATTAAGAATCTCTTAGATAAGTGGCGAGTAGAGAAGCGTCAGCAAGCAAATCGTTTCTATTTCTTATATGTTTGAAAAATTCAATTTCTATTAGTAAACAAATAACTTACCAATTGCTAGAATTGCCTCCTCTACCTTTTTTAAAGTAGGTGTACGTTTAGCAGTCGTAAATGCAAGGAACCTTTTTCTTGCTGCAGCAGTAGCATTCAGCCCTTTCTCTTCACTGAGGATTGAAAATTCTAACTGAGAAGATGAATTTTCTGGACTAACTGAAGATCTAAGAAAGTCCATCATTTGTTTATCTCCAGAAATATCCATTTTGTATACTTACCTAAGTTTAAAAGAATAATCTAACTTATTGAATCGTAATACATAATATAAATTCTAAGAAGCCCTTTTGAGATTTCCTGCAAATAGCTTAAAAACAATAAGTATGCAAATCATACTTCATATTTACACGTGGGCTGTTCCGTTCATGCAAGTGGTAACAGAATATCCTTCTTCTTCTTCATCTTGAAGCTTAGCTACCCTTTGGCGCCTTATGCTTCAACTCAAATATAATGTTATTTACATGTTAAACCCCGAGGACGCATTCCCTCCAATTCAGGAGGGAACGTCGGTCCGAAAACCAAACCCTTACACTAATAGTACTTGACTAAACTTATTTTTCTTAAAGGTTATTTTTTATCGACGGACCAGCTTCACTGCTTCGTTTTTAATTATTTTATTTAGAAAAACATCATATACAAATATTTACAGTGAAGCAAAATACAATTTAATTGTGAGCTTCGGTTACAAGTAATTGCTCACGTCAGACCGGTTAGATTTCTTCTTCAAGTCTGCTTCCTCAATCGTAGGAGGCGATAATTTGGCGAGATTCGTTGGCGTAAAATGCGCCAACATCCCGCCCGGCCTTGCTATGTTCACATGCAAGAACTTAACATAAATTTAATTATGAAATACCAGTATTAAAGTTTCAGTTATTCATGTAAACAAGTATAAAATATGTATAGAAAAATATAAAATAAGTGAACAAAACATGAATATAAAAATTATTGAGAAAAATAATTTTCAATATAATTACTAACAACTGAGTAACATAATTCACAACTTGCTAAACTTCAATAGGCAATACAGCTATTTTATTAATTGTCCTTTTAAAGTCCCCTGTTTTGGTACGAACTTTTACAACACGGACTTTTCCATCAGAACCGTGGTACAATGATGTTATTCGCCCTAAAAGCCAATTGTTAATTGGCAGAAAATCTTCTTTAATCAAAACCATTTGGCCGATCATCAGATCATTTTTTTCAACCATCCATTTTGATCTAGACTGTAAAGTATTCAAGTAATCAGACTTCCATCTTTTCCAAATAAGTTGTATAGTTTTTGTAGTTTTTTGCCAACGACTTAAGCGGTTTTCCTTTAAATCCGTTAAAAAAACGGCTCAGAAATTGCTGTTATAGGTCGCCCTATCAAGAAATGACCTGGCGTCAGAACTTCGAAACTTTCTGAATCACTAGAAAGAGGAGTAAGCGGTCGCGAATTTAATATTCCTTCTATCTGAATGACAATCGTTTCGAATTCTTCGTAAGTGAAATGAAAATTGCCAATCGTACGTTTAAGATGGTACTTCACCGATTTTATCCCAGCTTCCCAAAGTCCACCGAAGTGAGGCGATTTGGGTGGAATAAAATTCCAATCTATATTTTCTTGCGAAAAATGATTAGCTAATTCTTTGTCTGGGAAATTAATGAGCTTATAAAATTTTTTCAATTTTGAATTCGCTCCAACAAAGTTAGTAGCATTGTCGGTATAAATTTTGAAACATTTGCCACGTCTACTTGTAAAACGTTTAAGTGTTGCAATTAAAGCATCGGAAGTCAAATCTGTTAATGTCTCAAGATGGATGGCTTTTGTTGCGAAACATATAAAAATACAAATATACAATTTATTCAGAATACCTTTACGTTGATTTTTAAATTTCACTAAATAAGGGCCACATAAATCAATACCTGTAATAGAAAATGGAGCTGAAACATTAACTCTTTCACTAGGCAAATTACCCATAATTTGTGAAGAAAGAGTGGGCTTACATTTAAAGCACGTTACACATTGATGTACTGTTTTACGTGCGAGACTACGGCCACCTAAAGGCCAAAATTTCAAGCGCACTGCATTTAGCAGACCTTGTGGTCCAACATGAAATAATTTCCTGTGTAAACTTTCAAAATAAATTTTACTTAATCTTGAACCCTTAGGTAAAATAGGAGGATGTCTTTGAGAATATGGCACTGAAGCATTCTTCAGCCTTCCTCCTACACGTACTATTCCTTTGTCATCAAAAAACGGAAATAAATTCGAAATATTACTTGGCAGTTTCTTTCCTTCAAGGAGAACTCGTTGTTCATGCTTAATCAACACTTCTTCGGCTTCTCTTACCTCCTCCACTGACAGTGGTCCTGTGTTTTTACCTTATTCCTGCAATTGAAAATAAACCTGAAAATATAAGACAAAACATGGTTAATTTTATAATAATTGTTTGAAAGTTCTAAGAGGTCGTCCACAATAAAATGTTGAGAGCTGTCATTTAGCAGGGCTGTCTCTTTACAAGTCTCATCTTCAAAAGGAATTTTCCTTTCTCGCCGCAAAGTTTCTTTTTCGACTTGTTCGATGGTTTCAATCTCAGGAATAAATGGTTGCAAGTTCTTGAAACTGTCAGGCTGCATCAAGAATTCTGGACCTGTCCACCATCTAGAATCTGTCACCAAGGAATCAGCATTCATTCCACGTGAGAGAAGATCGGCAGGATTTTCTTTACCTGCACAGTGATGCCAAGAGTTGGGAATCTGTCAAGCTGGTGATTTCGTTCACTCGGTTTGCCACAAATTGCTTCCATCGGGTTTTTTGCACCCTTTATCCAAAAAAGTGCAATCTTGGAATCTGTCCAATGGTATTCAACAGAAGATCTTTTCAGATTCACGATTCTCTTTACCTTAGAACTAAGACGAGCTGCAACTAGAGCACCCAATAGTTCTAATCTTGGTAAGGTTACACCGTTTAATGGAGCCACACGACTTTTTGAAGTTAGGAGTTTCACCGATATTCCACTGAGTGTCTTTACCTTCAAATATATGGCAGCGCCATATGCCTTTTTACTTGCGTCGCAAAAACTGTGTATTTCAACAGTATCTTCGTGTGAAACAGAATCATTAATCAACCTACGTATTTTCAAATTTTCTATGTGATGAAGTTCAGCACACCACTTCTTCCATTCCTTTTCAATTTCTTTGGTAAAGGTTCATCCCACTGAATTTTTTTTCATTCCAGAGATCTTGGATGAGGCATTTAACTCGAATGGTGAAAGGCGAAATTAATCCTAAAGGATCAAATATCTTCCCTATTGCTTGAAGTAAGAAGCGTTTCGTATTTTTGTCCATAGAAAGAAATTCCAAAAGATTTTTAGTATCCATAGTTAAATAATCTTCGTGCGTCTTCCAAGAAAGTCCCAAGATTTTAGTTTGGTGTGCGCCCAAGCTGAGAGTAGCGTCTGCAGGATAGGTATCGAATTCTTTCATTCTTCCATTGCTCCATTAATTCAGCATTATTGCTAATCCACTTCCTGAGGACCATTCCAGCCTCTTCCATAATTTTCTTGGCATTTTTAGATACTTCAAGTGCTTCTTCAAAATCCTCACTTCCAGAAATGAGATCATCTACATAAAAACACTGGTCTAAAATTTCAACTGTTTCGGGAAAATCTTCCTTGTATTTTTTAATATGATGTCTAATAGTAGCTGCTAACAGGAATGGGCTCGAACTGACCCCGAAATTTACTCGATTGAAACGGTAAATCTGTAAATTGGGCCTTTTATCAACACTTGGATCATCACTACTCCAAAGAAAACGAACTGCATCCTTATGTTCATCAGAGAGGCATATCTGCAGAAAAGCTTGTTTAACATCTGAACAAAATGCAATTTTGTTCAATCTGAAATTAATTAGTAAATCCAAAAGATTTGGATTTAAGTTAACCCCTGGCCACAAGCAGTCATTTAAAGAAAGTTCATTATTTTGATGACTACCCGCATCAAAGACGATCCTAGTTTTCGACGTTAAACTACTTTCTTTCCGCACAGCCTGATGAGGCAAAATAATATATAGGCTTATTTAAAGCATTTTTCTTTTGTATCAGGATTTACGATGCTGATTATGCCTTCTTTTAAATAATCACAAATAATTTCACGGTATTGTTGATGTAACTCAGGATCATGACTAAATCTTCTCCACAAATTCTGAAAACGCTGCCGCGCCAAGGAATAATTATCAGATAATTCTTCATAATGTTTCCTAAAAGGTAATTGTACTACATAACGTCCATTTTTAAATTCAACGGTGTCATTAAAAATTTCCATTGCCTGATCCTTTTCATGCAAAACTGGATCATCACGAATACCAAGTCCCTCTAAATCAAAGAAAAGTTTTAAAGTATTTTGAAGAGAGTCATTTTGCACAAGAAAACAATGTCCCTGATAAGAAGGTTGTATTTCGTTAAGCTTCCCGCATGCGATCCATCCGAATTCAGACTCTTTAAACAATAAATCATCATTTATTTTATACGTATTATTTTTCAAAACCTTAAAAAATAAATCAGCACTTATAAGGGCATGTACCTCTGAAGCTTCATAAAATGATTTATCAGCTAAATTTAAAAATTGTGGAATTTCTACTTTCGAAATATCTAACGTAGTACACGGAGTTAGTCCTGTTATCTTATTTACAATCAAGAATTCAACTGGTTCATTAAAGGTACATTCTTCATTTGAAATAAATGTATTCACTTTCCATTTAATATTTTGAATTGATCCATTAAGACCTGTAACAGGCATTTTAATTTTCTCCCTTTTTATTCCTAAGCATTCACTTATTTTATCTGTAAGAACACATATATTAGATGCGCTGTCTAAAATCGCACGGATTTTTATTCTTCGATTATTGGCGTCACGGACATAAATCTCTGCAGTAGAAAAAAGTACACTTTTTCTTTTTTGTTTATTCTTGTTACTTAAAACACTCAACGCTTTCAATTCTGAGTCACCTTTTCCAGCGGCGGCATCGAGCTCACTTTTGTTTTGTCTAAGTGGCGTCACCGAGCGACAAGGAGTCTTCGAATGACCTTCATTATCCATGCATATTAATTTATTGTGTTTTTCCCCGCAAGCGCATTTATTTAAATTTCGAGAGACACTGACTTTTCTTATGATTTTGCTTTAGACATAATTCGCAGAGTTTATGTGAACGAATTAATTTTAATCTTTCATGAACACTTAACTTTAAGAATGTATCGCAAAGGAAAATAGGATGAAGGCTCCTACACACAACACAGTTTTTACTTTTATTTTCATTTGTCAAAAGAACCTTCGATTTATGGGAAGGAGTGGAATTCTTATTTATATTAACCCTACTTCCGGGTGTAATATTTCTATTTATAGATAACAAAACTGATTCACGCTGTTCCAAAAATCTAATAAACTCGTCAAATGTTGGAACTACTTTCGAT